GAAATATTTGAGTTTTTGATGAAAACATCTATAAATTAGAGAGTTATATAGGAAATAAACTGATAGTATATCAGTAAAAACAATGCGTGACAGAGATGATATGCTGAATTCATTTAGTAATATATTGTGGCCAAAGTTATGTTTGGGTAAATTTTGTCCGTTCTGAAATGTAGATAGGAGTTATTACTAAGATGAGGATACCAAATAATCTTACAAGTGTTGGTGCCACAAATATACCTAGTTTCCCGTCTGCCGCCTTGTACTTTTCGGTTAGAACATACCGCACAGTATTTTTTCTTGTCATCATTTTAGCGTGAGATATGCAATTTAGTAAATTAAAACTGAGTTTACCATTTAGTCTTTTCTTTGTATCTACAGATAATGGCTTGCAATGGAGTTTGGAAAGCTGCCGAACTTTATTAGGTATATAATTGGTTTATTGTTCTTGCCCCATTGTGATACTTTATATAATAAATATGCAATGACACTGAACATTTAGATTCCTCAGGAAAATACTTTCATAAACTTCTTCAAAAAACAGTGCAGTGCTGAATAAGAGTGTGCGCTGTCAACACCTCCATTAATTTATTATAGTTGACAATAACATTTGGTTTATTCACAACTTGCAAATTACCTACACGTATTTTTCTGTTGATAGGCTGTGTTTCTAAAATATTCCACGAAGTGAGCGTTGTAACAACCATTTCATCTTTTTATTTTTTTTTTATGCAATCGGATATAAATTTGAAGAGTTTGGAGACGCAAATAATTTAATTTAGGTACTCTAGTATTAATAAATAAGTCTTTTCACTATTTATATCAATGTATTCACTTTGAGTCATATTTCAATTTGAGTTTCTTTCATTTGATATTCTATGGCTTATGTACGTTGTTCTGAAAAGTTATTGTGTTTCTTGAGACGTCTGAGGAGAAAGTGGAGGCTTGCTTGAGAAATAAAAAGTGGGGAAATTACTAGGTTCTATGTGGGTTTCTTATCTAATATTTTAGTCATTGAGCGACTAGATGGCATAACACCATACCCCTTAATTAGATTGTAGTGCTACAACTTGTTAAAGAACTATAATTTAAATCCCAAAATTCTTTGATTGATTAGGTATACAATTTTTCTGTTATTGATGGTGTACAATTCTAAACATAATCAACAAAGTATTTATTCTCTTAAATTTGTTCCCTGGTTTGTTAAAATTTTGCAGGGTATGCTATAGTGGCAAACAATTCCCCCTGCAAAAGCCCTAGATACTGTTTCAGCGTCCTGGTTCTGTAAGTGTACTGCCCTTAGAGAATCAGACTTTATATTTTACATGGCTCACACCTCAAGCGTGTTGAAGTGCATATTCGCTCGGTAATATTCTCAGGCAGTAGTGTTCTACTTCTTGCTTGGCTGCTATGTATATCTCTCTGTCTTGTGTGTAGTAAATGACTACACAATCTGCGATTTCTTTGATAAAAAACTTCCGTTTCGTATTGTAACACATATTTGATGGCTTTGTCTATTCTTTTAGAATATTTACCCTTACTACATCAATCTACTTTTAAACTGATTGTGAAAGCTTTCCAAAAACATATTAGTGTTGATGCCCAAACCTTTCCGAAAACAATACGCTTAGGTCTTTGTGCGCTTACAATAAGTCTTCCTACAATATTTTGCAAACGACTATGTATTTGCATCCCTTTCAAGTTCCTTCAGATATTCACTTGAACATCTTGAGAATGTCTCTTCATTTAGAATCATTTTAATGTCGATCAATTTGTCGTAAAGTTGTCTGTTTCTCTCTTTTTTTAATCTTATTCCCACAGCTTCTGAAATTTGTTGAAAAAAATTTGAAGAACTATTTCATCTTGTCTGTTCGAAAAGCAAAAGGCAACAGGAATCCCACTCCCAAATTCGTCAAAAAACTAGTGGTGTATGGCATCGTGCCTTAAGGCAAATTGCTAGAACTTCCCGTACCGTAACGAAATGTTCGAGAAATATTAAATGTTTTCAAATAGAATATTATAAATATTGTAACACTGTCTATTATTTATAAGAATTATACAAACGGAATTGCAAAGTTGAAATTATTTGTAAAGTATATTAGAACTATAGTCAGAATTCAAATTAGAACCTGAAGTATTTACGATGTACGAAAAAAATTTTTTTATGAAAAACTTGAAACAATTTTTTGTCAAAAAACAATTATTTTGTTAAAAAAGCAGAAAGTTTTTTGAATCATTTAAAGCGGACCCTTGGTTCTCTCAAAAAGCCATTTTTTGTACATTTAGCTCTGTATCTTTGAAATGGCTGGACCTGGCTTTGCCAAAAACTAATCACCACTTCTCCAAATCATTACAAATTTAGATCATTCAAATCCGATACTCCGTTCTCCCAAAAACTCGATTCCTATTTTATGTACTCTTTGCTCTTTATCTCCGTAACGGTTGGATCTGCCTTTACTAAAAACTACTCAGCACATCTCCCTATCAATAGGTATCGAATGTTTTTTTAACCATTCAAATCGGTTGATCCGTGCGCCCAAAAACGTGGACGAAAAAATGCGGACGTCTGAAATTCTGAGATATGCCAAAATGTTCAGAAACCTTCAAAACGTGAGGAAATGTAAAAAAATTTCAATTTCGATTTTTAAACGATTACAATAACCTTACCCCACGGGAAGTTAACTAGTGGTGTATGGCATCGTGCCTTAAGGCAAATTGCTGGAACTTTTCGTGCCAAATATTATTTTTTTTTTTAAATATTATTTTTTTTTCAAACTTTGAAAAAATTAGATTTTTGAGAAATTTTAAATTTTTGAAAAAAATTCACTTCATTGGAAATTGAATATTTTGGTGCATACAGTCGCACTATCGAAGCGCGTAAGCGCCGCGTCGCGGTCTTACTGACAAATGATGTTACGGAACCCATAGATACACACATACATTGTTACACGTTATTAAAACCCTTACGGGACGAAACCGATTTCAAAACAATCTAATGTACCGGCATCGGCTGTAAACTTGATTTCATTGTGTATGTTATGCAATTCGTTTGACAAAAATTTGTGGTCATTGAAGGACACACTTTACTAACTTACCGCAGGGCTTAACTTATAGTAATCGCAAAAAAATCGAAAATGAAAATGTTAATATATCTTTACGTTTCAGAGGTTTCTGAATATTTTGGCATACCTTAAAAAAATTGATGTATGTGTGTGTGTGTGCGGATGCAAATTTTCGTCGACGATTTTGGGAACACCGATCAACCGATTTAAATAATTCAAATAGCATTCGATTCGTATTGATAAGGAGTCGTGCTGATTAGTTTTTTGCACAGGCAGGTCTAGCCGTTTCGAAGATACGGGGCAGAAAGTGCCAAAAACGGTAACACAGTTTTTAAGAGAACGGGGCGCCGATTTTAATAATTTAAAAAACTTTACTTGTATTGACAAAATAAACAACTCGTAAATTTTTTCGGAAGGCGGGTCCAGCGGTTATGGACTCTCAATAAAAAATAAGTTAAAAAAATGTCATTTTTGGCGGTCAAACAATTATTGATTATTTTCATTCTTCGAATGTTTAATTACAGTACGGGAAGTTCTAGCAATTTGTTTTAAGGCACAAGGTTTTGGACAGATAAAAAATACTTTTAAAATAACTAATAATTATTTTTGAAATACAATACTGTATATCCCTGATGTATGTAATCTATTCAACGTTTCGATGCAAATTGAGCGATTTGTTTACAAAATGGTCTGTGCCTCATAGGTAGCCTAACACAGTACGTTTAGTATTTTACGAATAATATTTTAGACCAGTAAAAGGTCATCCATTTATACAAATTCATTGAAATTCAATCGTAAATATAATTCATCAATAAATATAAATTTAAGATTAGGATTGAAGGACGAAAATATATCGAAAAGTTAATATATACCGATGCTGATAAAAAATAGGAAAATATGTTAAAATTATGTATATTTTTAATTTTATTATGTTATCGATAAAACATCAAATCAGCAAATGTAAAAATAAATATTGCAGATTTTTTAAAAAATAGTAAAGTTTAAATAAAATAAAATTAAAAGGCATTTTTACTTTGATGACAAGAAATATTTTAGTCTCTGAAAACTTGGAACTGTATATATATATTTATTTTTGACTGAAATGATAGAAAACAATTACAATATTATATTATTGATTATTTAAACATTTATTATATACAAATAAACAAAGCAACAGATTTGTGACCAGAATATTTATTGCATAAATTGCAATTAATATCCCACAACTAATTCAATGTATTACTAAAAATACTTTTTCAATTAATTGAATAGTCAAACATATTCCTGAAAGAAAACCAACATTTCATAATAACAAATCGATTAAAGAATTGTTAATAATTTTAAATAAATAGTGTGTATTTCGAGATAAATTATAAAAGATTTTATAGTAATGAAAGAGTCAAATAAAATGTGTATGCAAAATATACAATAATTAATTAATATATATGTCTGAATATTTTATGAAAATTTTTTCGAAGTCCAGGAAAAGGCTATAATATAAGATGATGAGATATATAAGTAAAATAATAATGTCCTTTGATAAAAATTTATTGTCAAATTGAAAAGGACTTTGTGCAAACATTCTCGTTTGCTGTTGTGTGTAAAAACATAATGAAATGTTTCCACTTTTTTTCGGTGACACTTCCCCTGTCTGAAATATGATATATATATATATATATATATATATATATATATATATATACATAAGTAAATAATCAATAACTAATAATAAATTAATGCAATTCTTGGAAAATTATAAATTATAAAATTAAATGATGTTAAATTCACAATCACCTGTGTTATTATCAGAGATGCACTCTTCGGTGCTGCTTCAGTGTCTTTTTTTGCGTACACTGTTTATTACATGTTTCGCACTTGAAGGGTTTCTCGTCCATGTGTATCCTTTCATGCTGCGTAAGGTTCCATTTTTTCTTGAAGGCCTTGTTGCAAGTATTGCAACGATGAGGCCGTTCATTTGTATGGACCTTTTCATGTTCTTTTAGGGCGATCTTTTGCCTAAACCATCTATCACATGTTTCACATCTGAACCGTTTCTCGTCATTATGAATCTTTACAGGTTGTTCGCGGTTGCCATTCGAATGAACATTTTTATGCTTTAAGAAAGTCACCTTTTGTTTGAACTTCTTATTGCATAATTCGCATTCGAATGGACGCTCCCCTGTATGTATTCTTGCATGCCGTTTTAGGTTGAACTTACTTGTAAATGCTTTGTTGCATGTTTTACATTTAAACGAACGATCAACGGCATGTGTTCTTCGATGTTCTAACATTGTGATTTTACTAAAAAACCTTTCATTGCATATACTGCATTTGAAAGGCATATCTGCAGCATGAGTTTTTTTATGTCGTTTTAAAAAAAACGAACTTCTGAAAGATTCATAGCAAATATCGCATTCAAAAGGACGATCTTTGCTATGGACCTTTTCGTGTCGTTTTAAAACGATTTTCTGCGAAAATTTTTTATGGCGTTTATTACATTTGAATGGTAGTTCTTCACGGTGAATTATTTTATGCCTAATTAAATTAAAGTTCGTTGTAAATTTGCTATTGCATATATTACATTCAAATGTACGTTGTTGTGTACCATGCACCTTTTGGTGATTCTGTAATGTCACTTTCTGCGAAAATGTTTTATTGCAAAGATTGCATTTAAAGGGTAATTCATTACCATGAATCACTTTATGCCTATTTAAGTTGAAATTTGTAGTATAGTTAACGCAAGTCCTATGAATGGATAATAAATATTAAAGCATATTTATTAATTAGTTTTTTTAATATGATATAATACTAACACTTACCTCTTCGGTATTACGATATGGTTGAAGGTCGAAGTACGATTCGAAAATGAAGAAGTTTCTTCTTGAACCATGACACTTCTACTTCGTTCAGGTTGGACGACATTAGAAATATATCTAATGGCGCCAAAATTTAAAATCATTGACTATATAGTTGAAGAAGGTAGATTTAAGCAGTTTTTTTCGAAATTTTTTCGCATAGCGCCTCTCCCCCCAGCTTTAATGAAAAAAAATCTTGCGCGCCCCTTAATTTTTCTCAACAATTTCATTTTATAAATACTCCACTGATATCGTAACAAAATGTTCCAGGAATATTAAATGTTTTCAGATAGATTATTATAAATACTGTAATATTGACTAATATTTATATGAATTATATAAACTGAATTACAAAGTTAAAATTATTCACTTAAAGTATATAAGTGAGCTTTAAAAATTTAGCTAGAATTAAAATCAAAATGTGAATTATTTTCGATATACAAAACAAATTGAAATGAAAATTTTTTTTCCAAAAGCAATTGTTTTGTCAACATTAAAGAAACTTTTTTGAATCATTCTAATTAGACGTTTAGTTCTCTCAAAAACTGCAATTTTTTGCCCATTTAGTCTTGTATCTTCAAAACGGCTGGAGCTGCTCAATAGAATTGAATGTTTTTTGAACCATTCAAATCGGTTGATCCGCGCGCCCGAAAACGTGGACGAGTAATTGTATCCATACATACAGTGGCGGCGCTAGACCATTCGGAGGCGTCGGCGAAATCGTTTGCGAGACCCCCCTTTTTTCCAATTAAAGTTGACTAACTAAACTTTTATAGATTTTAATCAATTGTTTTTTGAACTTATCAAATTGGTTGATTTGTGTTTACGAAATCGTCACCGAAAATTTGTATCCGCGCATATATACATACATATGCTTATTTATCAGGTTTGATCAGCTTAATGATGGCACGCACTTATTATAAAAATGTACAAAATAAATATGTTACCCTACTTAACATTTTTGATTTTTTTTGAAAATGTTTGAATTAAAAAAAAAAATCCCTACTCTGGGTTACTTAAAGGCATTTTCTTGATTTTATTTAAAGGCTTTTTCTTATCAACTAATTTTTTGCAATTCCTGCGATTCCTTTATATAAGCTGGTTTTAATATCTTGTTTTATTTTTCTTCTTCTCCAACTTTGATCCTTTTTATACTGTATAAGATGACACACATACATCCATTTTTCTTAAGGTATGCCAAAATTTTTAGAAACCTTCGTAACGAAAAGATGTATGAAAATGTGCATTCTCGATTTTTTGCGATTACTATAACTTACCCTACGGGAAGTTAATAAAAGCCTATGCAATTGAAAACCATAACCGTTTGTCCCGCGAGTACCGTCAATGCATATCTCGTCTGTACCAAATTCCAATAACATTTGCGCCTGCACGTTTTTTTAAATTACTAAAATAAATTCATCGTTTCCAAACCCATAATTACTTATGTTAATTTCTTTAAAAAATAGAGCTTTGAATGTTTTCTTTTTCTGGTTCTCCTTAACCCTATCGGCTACACTTCTTGAATCATTTTTATTTCTAAAGGTATCATATGGTGGTAACACATGTCTTTTCATATTCTATAAATCTTTCTTCGTAATCATGGAAGCTCTCAGTGGTAATTAACTTCCCGTAGGGCAAGTTATAGTAATCGCAAAAAAATCGAAAATGAAAATTTTTGCATTTCTCGACGTTTCAAAGGTTTCTGAATATTTTGGCATACCTTAGAAAAAATGGATGTATGTGTGTGTGTGTGTGTATGTATGTATGTGTGTGTATGTATGTGCGGATACAAATTTTCGTCGACGATTTCGGGAACACGGATCAACCGATTTGAATAATTCAAAAAACATTCGATTTGTATTGATAAGGAGACGTGCTGATTAGTTTTTGGCAAAGGCAGGTCTAGCCGTTCCGGAGATACGGGGCAAAAAGTGCCGAAAACGGTAACTCAGTTTTTAACGGAGCGTCCAATGTGAATAATTCAAAAAACATTTCATTTGTATTGACAAGATGAAGACTTAATGAAATTTTCATGAAGGCAGGTCTAGCGGTTTCGGAGATATGGAGGAAAAAGTAAAAAAATGAGCCATTTGGCGGATAAAAATGATCATTAGACATATGCACATCCAATTATCAGATATTTTATAGAGATTTTAACAATAAGTATATTTTTTTTTACATTTCTATGGGTTCCGTACCAATGCTTATGCGTTAGACGGCGGCGCGACACTTGCGAGCTTTGACATTTCGTCTCTATGCAGTTCAAGCAGTACGATTGCTTTGAAAAAAAGTTCAGAATTTCCAAAATATGTCAAAATGAAGAAAACATTTTTCTTTTAAAAAAAAATTGTTTTAAAAAAAAAAAATTATTTTTCAAAAAAAAAAATTTTTTTTCAAAAAAAAAGTAATTTTTTGTCAAATTTATAGTTTCTCAAAAATCTAATTTTTTTGAAGTAAATTTTTTTCAAAAATGTTAATCGTTTTTAAAAAAATAATTTTTGGTACGGGAAGTTCCAGCAATTTGCCTTAAGGCACGATGCTTTAATTGCCTTAAGACAGAATTCCACTTACAGCTAGTTCTTTATTTAAACAAACTTCACGTTCGTAGTTTATAATAAAGTCATCATGTACGCCAGCTTTAATTTGATCTGGAAAAAATATATTACTAATGATAAAGAATTAATAACAATGTGATGATTGCATTTATGAAAATAAATTAAAAATACCTTTGATGTTTCTGATTAAATTTTGATCCAACAGCACATATTTTATCAAATTTTCATGTCCCACATGTGTTTTCCAGTAATCAGCCTCAACAGGTCCGTCATTATATACCTTGCACATAATTTGTGGGGGACAAGCATGTCCAATTTTTTTTGCTACCCCTCGAAAATGTTTCCTTCGTTTGTTGTACAGAATTGCCCTAAATCTGTGCCGTTCGGGTCCCTCCGGGTCTCCTCGATATTCTTTGTGTCCTCTACATCCTATTAGTGCCGTCGATACTACTCAAATATAGGGGTGTGATGCGGGCATAACTAACACTATCAATCCTATATCAAATAATATAGCAACTAAACAACTAGCTCGTATCATCTTTGAACTAAGTGGGAATAAAGGGTCGATGACTTTGCCATTTTAATATCATCAACATAGGACAACTTGAATTTTGAACTACTTGATCTATTTTAGTATTCAAAATGACAAGTTTTGTGTTTATTTAATCAAAACAATATCATTAATCCTATTTGTAGGGAGTTTGACCATTTATTTCTACGTTGCTACATATTTAGGTATTGAATAAACTAAATGTTCTAAAATGGGTCTGTTATTGAAGTCATTTATTTAAATAAATATCTTATCGTGATTAACAATATGGTCTAATCTATATGGCTCAGGAAGTGCTGTCAATGGTTTTCCAATCAAAAATGCCTTGGACTAATATATAAAATATCAGCGCTGTCATCAGTGGTGGTAGCCAAAAGTGGTCTAGAGTTTACAACTGCCTCAATCTGAGTGAGAATCGTGAGGTACTCTTTGTATGTCAAATAGTACAATTCTATTACTTGGTGGTTCCCTCTCATAAAAAAACCAAAATGTGGGGAGTACGATGTAATCAATAGCCACCTTACTCCAAATTGTGAGCTTACTTCAATTAGGTTAGGGGTTCCCTTTGACCATATCATGTCCGAAGAAACGGTATAGGGTCACCTAGCTCATTTTTGGCTCCTACAAAAATACGGTATAGGGTCACTTAGCTCATTTTTGGCTCCTACAGTCACGGCGCTGAATAAAACGTCGCAATGTGGCAAGAAAAGAATCTGTGGATGAACTAGTCACAAGATCGAAGTGTACCGTCATTGTGACCATACACACAAACAAAGCTATGTAGGCTTTAGCATGTCGTGCTTACCTTAGCGGCTGGTTTTCAGTGTTATTGGTTCAGCAAAATCGACTCCTAGTTCCTGCAACATATTCATTGTACTCAACGAAGCTTTTGTAGGACATTTAATTTACTCGAGCTGGTAACTAAATTAAGTTGGAAACTACTATCCAGTAAAACGCTCGAACATTTAACCTTCAGAAAACAGCTATTGCCCAGTGAAACCTCTTGCAGACCCATATTTAAAAACACAATATTCTAACTGTCCCATGCATTCTACTGGTAACATTATCTTTCATCGAAATCAATTCGAAACTTTTTAATATGGCTTTGTCATCATCCAACTACAACGCTAGACACAAACTTATTAAGGCGCGCACATATAAACTAGCTCTTTCATTACGGTCGATGGTTTAGGTATTCAGCTTTTGAATAAACTTCCACTCAATATCCGAAGCTAAGACAACAAAAAATTCGATGTTTTTTTAGTTAAACTGAATTAGCTTTTTATAACCTTACAGAATTTTGTAATATCACAATATCAATAAAATTGTAATATCATAATTGATAATAAATTATTATTGCTAGAATTATTATAAAGAAAAGACTTTGTGGGGAACTGGTGTCAAAATAGGTGACTGTTATAATAGGTGACTGTGATACCTAAATGCATCATAATATTGCCCTTTGTTAATCTTCCGAAGTTTATTTGGACAGCTTGCAAAAATTCAGTTTTCCCTTTTTCCCTTTTGCAGAAAATTTATTTGCCAGGTCTTTTGTTAATATTTTTTGCATTAGTGCGCGAATTGTCGCCCTTTCATTATATTGGTTTTCAGGGGCCAGCTCATGCATCAAGCCTGATGCGAAGTTTTCCTCTTTTAAATTTTCTTCCAATTCATTTATTTCTTTCATATTCTTCAACGGAAATATAATGACTTGGTTTCGCTCGTCTTTATCTGAAATCACTAACGATTGCAGCTTATGCTCAATGGCAGAGGTAGTAGCTTGAGTACCATTATGAATATCTTGACCTATCACAATGTCAGGCTCACAATTCTCTATTATACGTACCAAAGTCTGGACATCTTCCGGTAAGTTCTCATCAAAATATTTTTTCATTATTTTCAATAATTTATTAACTTCATCCTCTTGTATTGTAGTCTGTTTCACCCAATGATACAGTTCGTACAAACAAATGTTTTCAGTCGATGAAACTTCTTCATTATTGATGGGTGAGCTATTCACTCTGCTTTCGTACAATCAAGAGATCAGCATTATCGCCCTCACAGAATTCTGCTACAATGTTTCTTATGTCACCAAAAGATAAGATTCACTTATCAGTAATTTTTTGCAAAAAGTATTAATTATTAAAGTATTTAAGGGGGTTGTTTTTTTTTTGTTACAAAACATGCAAGGTATTTGTTTTTGTTTTTCTCGAACTGCATTTTTAATAAAGCATTTTAAATGCGGTTTTTTTTAAACAAAAATTACAAAATCATAGAATATTAAGAAATTTTTTATTATTTTTTTTCGCCGTCATTTTTTAACCAGGGGGCGTCAAAGTGGGCATTGCAAAATCGATCTCGTTTGCGCTGCTACAGATAAATCCGTTGCGCATCGCCTGAAACAAAAAAAACGAAACTACGTTGAAGAAGAAGTTTGAATCCAGTCCCCCTACCAAAATGAAAGAAAAAAAGCAAGAAGGAAAAAATGGCAGCTATTTAAAAAAAAGTGTCAAAAAGGCCTTGTTATTGGGACGAAAAGCTTCGCAAAATTTTTTTGCGTAATGTTATCGAGTTGTTTGAGGTAGGGGGACTAGGTATTACAGTGGTGAACAAATTAAAAAAAAAATGCAAGTCGATCCAACTTGTAGTTTTTTTTTAATTTGTGGCACCGCATTGAAAAAAGTCAATTTGAGAAAAACGTATTTAAAGTTTTTAATATAATGTACTTCATACACCATTTAATTTAATGTACGAAATACACCATGGTGTTCAAGGATGCTTACACATTAAAAAGGTCATGTGCATGAGGTATTATAATGAAAAAGAGGCAGCTGGCATACAATAGCTCGCGGAACGATAAAAGAATAGATATTGAGATGATTTTTTTTTAAATAATCCTAAGGTTTTTAGTTTTCATAATATCAAAAAATCTCAAAACCGAAACAAAGAAAAATAAAAAAAGAACAACCCCCTTAAAGAATTATTTGGCCTTGTCCTTGGAGTTGCAGATTGTTTTTCTGTTCAGAGAAATTCAGAATACAATACTTATTTTAATCGTGAATATTTACGTGAAGTAATTTGATCTCTATACATAAGTATAAGTTTTATTTATTATTATTTTATTTAATATTCGAGAAGAACATTGTTTGTAAAATTAATGATGAATAACCACAAAATTAAAATCATTTCGAGAAAAGTTTTAAACTGAAATACATTATGACGCCTGAAACACGCCCGACTCGACTCGACTGTTGTGTGTGCATCAAGCCAATTTAGAAACTCACTATCAATAATTGTCCCCTTTCCCGTATATATCAGCATATACCATATATACCCAGTTTTCGATTCGCACAAGAAGTAACTTTTGATGACAAATCTTGCACGTTTCATGGGCATATATTGTTTCCAGCTTAGTGCTCCTTTTTACAACATTAGGCTTTCGTCAATTGTAATATCCCTTTGAAGGGTATAAGCAGTTTTAAATTTTTTATTTAGAAAATCATATACAGGCCAAATTTTATTCAGTTTCGGATAAGGATGTAAATCCGAATTATAGGTTTCATTATTCATGAAATGTAAATACTTTTTTATCAATTTGAACCGCCTATTGGACATTACTTTGGAAAAAAAATGAAGTGGCATTAATGGGGTTTTTCGACCAATACATATTTTCATCTGGCTTGAATACGATACTCATATTTAACACTATTGCAAAAAATATTCGCATTTCTGCTGCTGTGACATTCCAATCCATTACAACACCAGGCGTTGAAGGATCCGTTTGCTGTTGTTGTATAAAATATACATTTGTTTCATCAACAATTTTTCCAACCAATTCGTCGTCAAAAAAAAAAAAAAAAATTAAGAGATGTTGTTGGCAATGCAACATCTTCATTTATGAAAGAATTTTCCATGAATTCAAAAGGAGTTTGTGGCTGTGGAGTATTTGTACTTATATCAAATTCAATTTCATCATCAAATGTTAACTCTCTTTCAGATTCCAAACTAATAATCGTTGATGTAGTACTGCAGTCTGAACAATCTAAATCCATCTTCTCAAAATTATGATTTCTTGATAATAAAAATCTTATATAGTGACACATAAAATTTAAGAATAAATTGAAATAATTGAGATACATACTTACCAATATCTGCGAAATTAAAGCTGTAACAGTTTAGTATTAAATGAGAAACACAATTATAAAAACTAATAACTTTATTAAAATATTGTTCGTGAGTTCACAGAAATGCGTCAAAGTTATACAGAACACTTATTGGAAATGCGCGTTGGATTTTGAATCACTTTGGCTCAGTGAAAGCTGAAATGATTCGGGGCGTCAGAAAGATTCCGTGATAATTCTTTAACAACAGCTTTACCGGACCGTTGTAACTTCAATACTAGACTGAAGTTCCAAATGTTGGTCAGGGTTCGTTCTTCTACTGATGGTTTTTAGAAACAACCAGTTAATAATTTCAGGGAGAAAATATATCAACTATAAAGCTTTTAGCCGCGGGCGAACTCAATACTTTTGACAATATTTCTGATTTTACAAGGCCTTTTATACTATTCCTATTTCTCCTACTTTCGTAGTGGGGTTGATTTTTTGGTTAGGGTGGAAGTTCCGAGTTTCCTTTGTGTCCGTCCGATAACTCCTTCGCGTCGTTTCGGAGTTCGTCGCCGGTTCATCTCGCCAAAATCTTTGGGTATGAGATTGTCATTGGTGATGAACTCATCTCGCTAGGTCATCGGTAATTGGTTATGACAAATTTCTCCTCCAATGACATATAATGCGTAATATTTATTAATAAATATATTTATCATCTTTCTCACTCCCTCGCTGAATTAGGTCGACCACGTTTCCTGATCGGAATCACAGTAATGAGTAATGTCTTCATCTCCTACGAAAGGTGATAAGGCAGATACGTGGAATGTGTCTATGATCTCATCTGTGCTATCCGGGCGTCCTACTTCAAAGCTTGTCGGGCCACTCTGCTGTAGTATGATATATTAGTCTAAGAGCCAGTGAACTATTTGACTAACCTGTTTTCACAAAGCCAGAAATTTTTTTAATGATATTTTATTATCGGCCCATTAAGAAAATACCATTCTGGCAGTCATTCCGCGGTTGCGTCATCATCCCTTCAATTTGTGAAAATGTAAAAAAAAATTTTTTTATAACTTGCTCGCACAAGGCTCAAATTTTGAGGGTGTCTTCTTTTAACTGTTCAGAAAGCATATGTAAAAAGCCAGCCCATTCTGACGGTTGCAAGGGTCTGCCAGAAGAGTACATAATAGTCATGACGCGCAAGGGTGTGGGCGCATTGCCATACATAATTGACTAATACCCTTGTATTTAAGTAATTTATACGCCATTTTAAAGGTCATTTTGAAAACATCCGTTATACCAAACTTCAACTTTGTATCTCACCTTATGGCCGAGATATCATTGAAAATATGCCAAAGTGGCCCCTTTTTAAAACTCAATTTTTGGCGTAACCATAAAAGATATCGAAAAAAAAATTACGTGATTCTACTCATATTGGCTTAAACCACATAATGTATAGTAATATATGCTAAATAATCCTTTATTATTAGCTAAAAAAGATAAAATAATTTTTCAATTATTGTTTTCGGATAGTGCGTTTTGTTCAATTACTTTATTATTAGCGTTATTTAAAAGCTTATTGTTTTCTCTTTTAGTACTGCAAATATGGTTTAAATTGTGTTTTAATTCTTCTTGGCTATACAGGTCAGTCGTTTTCGGCAATTCTCTTTGATATGCCCCCTCCATTTGCAGTAATTGCATTTCTTCATTTCCTCCGTGGCTAGTGCGAAGAATCCGCATTCAAACGCCGCTGTCGCCTGTTGCACTGGTGTGGCCGTGCAGATTGGACACTTACTTCGTATGACACTTGGCTTACCGCATCCGTAGCACTAAATTCGTGGCTCGGCACGGGTTTCCGTTTTCTCCTTCTACGGTACCTGCAGGGTTTTCTGCCTCTTACGACATTCGCCGATGAAGTGACCAATGTTGCCGTAGTAAGCCCAACTCTTTTTTTTCTGTGGTACTGCAGTCTCGTTCTCCTGCTTCCTAAAGGAGTGCCTTGATGACGCGTGCTTTCAGTAGCAGCTCGTCGAACGTCGTCACAGCGGTCCGTGCAACACGCTCACGGATTCTCATACGTAAAAGTCCGTAGAGCATGTGGATTTGCGTGTTGACTGACATCTCATAAGGTGGGTAGTAAGGTAAGGAGTTGGGCTAACAGTGCCCTTTTCTGACCGACGAATAAGTCCGTGCTTGTAGTTCTGTCTTGGCGGCTGCCGAAAAATTCGATAAAGACGCTGTGTGGAGGTTTACTAGGGGCCAACGAAGAGTTTAGTAGACGGATAGCGTCGTCGTCTAGTTTAGTAAAAAACTGCTTACCCTTTAATGCGTCTAAGCAGTCGTCTATCCTAGGGCTAGGATAGGGGTCCTTCACCACTCTCTTATTGAGCTCTCTGTAGTCAATGCACAATCTAATGCACCCATCTCGTTTACGCACGATAACTATGGGTGAACAATACTCCGAAGTGCTCGTCTGTATTATACCCCGATTTAGCCAATCTTCAATTATTTCACCCACCTGGGTCCTCTCATAATACGACGCTCTCCGTGGTCTCACATGAAATGGTGTAGCTTCAGCTTTCATAGTTATGGTCATTTCCATTTTCACTGCCGGTTCAGAAGGCAGCGGGGCTTCTAAATATTCCTGTCTAATTACCTCTCTGATCCTTCGCTGCGACACCACTTCCAAACCGTCTCGGACATCAGTTTCAACCTCCTTATCACTATTTTTATCACTTAAGTCAATCATCAATATATTATCACTTTCTTTTCGCTTAATGGTCACCCTTTTCCCTATGTTCACATTTAAATCCTCATGATTTATCATGTCCCGACCAAGTAAACACACCGATGTCATTGTTACTTTAGGCACCACATAAAATTTTAAAACTACGGACACTCCAAAACCACAAAGTCACGAGCCGTTCCAACGTTCCCAACACTTTCAGCTTCGAACCGTTAATTCCCTCAAAATGGCCGTTGCTCGTGTCTGACAGCTGTGCTCCGGTTGGCAACACTCTTCAGACAGCTTAGATATTGGCGATCCCGTATCCACTACGCCTTCCATCTGCGTACCGCCCTCTATGGAGACGCTCACCGTATACGCAGACACTAGATTGATTAACATAGTCGTTGCGCCCTCTATTGTTATTTTGCCAACAATCTTTCTGCGCGTGGCCTAGCTTCCCGCGTTCCGTCTTTTTTAGGCTTAAGGCATCTTGAAGCTAAGTGCCCCCCATACCTCCACAATTAAAACATTTCACTCCTCTACCTTGTGGTTCTATCCTTGGAAGACCTGTCGGCTGTATCTTCTTCGGCTGCACCGAACTAATACCCCGTTCTGTCGACGTTAACTCGTTCATTACACTCAATTGTGTACCCAAATTAAGCGTGTGCACTAAATGATTTTTTTTAAATTTAAGTCGTTTAATATGTAATTAATAGATAATTTATTTCCTGCAGGCAATCGCGCTGAGAGTTTGGTTTTCTCCCTCTTGGCAGCATAGTCGGTAAAATTATGTGCGCATTTGAAAGAAATTCTTCAATGAGGTTCACACAATTTATCCATTTTGTATTGTAGTATTTAATAATACTGATAAAGATAGGTCACAATAAGGGCTTTATTTTAACAATGTTACAATAATCATTCAAAAAAGAGGTTTTTGGGGTTTGTTGAATCTACATTGTTTCAGTTTTGGAAATATGTTTTTGGGCTTAAATACTAAACATCATATTTCAATTATTTTCATTCTCTTCAAAATTTGGATCAGCAACACAAAAATACCTCATCTTCTACCTGTCTTGTCCGATGATTTATGACTGGAGGGACATTTTATTTCAATCTTCGTATTCATAGTAACTTCATCAGGAGATGCTGCGTAAACTGGATGGCTAGGTACAAGATAAATCCCTGGACGAGTAATTTGTACTTTCAATTTTTTTCCAGAACTTCAATTACATCTTTTTCTAGTTTTTTTTCCCTTATGCCGTAGCATTTGTTCCATGAACTTTATCTGCACCAATAATTTGTTGCACTAGTGAGCCGTTATCAATTGTACAATGAGGCGCTTCATAAAATATTGATGCAGTTATACGTCCATGAAAACTTATAAATTTCAATATTTATCCAAAATCCAACTGAAGATGAGTGAAACAATACTTTATGATACTATTTTTTCAAAGAAATTCTATCAAGGTAAATACTGTTAAAGTATCACTAAGTTGTAGTACTAATGGGGCGACATGTGGAACATACATCTTGAAGTAAAAGAAATTATAGTTTTTGTATTGAAAACGTTAGCTGGAAGATATTCACTGACCGGTAAAATAAATTAAATATATTAAATTTAAATAATTGTATTTTCGTATTTCTATTTGGTAGAGTCTTGCTTGCCAATCCACCACATAAAAAGCATACTTGTGTTGTTTTAGTAAAACTTGAAAATGCTCTGAAAGTGTCATTTTTTAATCGCCCGGATGATATTGTACTGTTTAGTTACATGTGCTTCTATGTTACATATAATTTTATTTGTTCATGAGTTTCTTGTTAAGCGAAAATAAATCTAAAAACACAAGCGCGTTTTTAAATCAGTATGTATTGTATTGTATATTTTAAAATGTCGATAGTTTTCTTGTATTGTGATTTTTTTCGAAATCAATGTTGTGATAACAAAACTAAATAATGTGTGATTTAGTCCTTGATAATGTAAAATTAGTTAAAATATATAGAAGTCATGAAGAAACTTTATTTGTTGAATGCTAACAAAACAAATTTTTGGAAATAAAATAAATAATAGGATATGTTACGATATTAGATAATGATAATAGGAGTATAATAAATGGAATGAAAAATTATAACGTACATGAATCAAAAGGTAATGACTGAATTGAAGTGAAAGCACTGTTATTGAGGTTCAACAATAACTAACGAATGATAATATAATAAC